TCTCGGTTTTTCCTTCCTTTTAAGAGATCTTCTTGACGACGACCAAGTTCTCTTAATTCTTGGGCTAAAGTATTTTGTAAAGCAATTTCTCGTTGGGTTTTCTCTAATTCAATTTGCCTTTCTTGTTTTTCTTTTAAGAGAGCATTTTCTTTTTTCTTTAATTCTTCCTCGTTCTTTCTTTTTTTATCGGCTGCTGCTTGTAAAATACGAGCTTTTTCAGCATTGGCTTCTCTTTCAATTCTCTGTCGTTGTTCGGTATCCTCTAAAGCAATCGCAGCCAATTTTTTTTGTTTTTCTTCCTCAATAAGTTTAGCCTGATTAGCCAGTCTTTCCTGTTCAACTTGGTTTTCTTTTTCCAACTTTTCTATCTCATCACGCTTTTTCTTTTCCGCTAATTCATTGGCTTTTTTTTGATTTTCTAAGGCTTCTTCAGCTCTTTTTTTGGCTTCTTCAATATTTTTCAACTTAGTAGAGAAAATTCTGGCTTGTTCTTCTTGGAGTGCTTTTTGCCTGGCTTCCTCGGCTTCTCGCCTTTTTTGCTCTTCTTTCTCGGCTAATTCTTTTTCTTTTTTCCGCCTTTCCTCATCTTCTTTAAGTTTTCTATCCTTTTCAGTAAGTTTTTGTTCTCTTCTTTTCCTTTCGGCTTCCTCCAATTGCTTTTTAGCTACTTCTCTTTCCTGTTTTTTACGCTGTCGTTCAGCTTCCTCTTTATTTAGATTATCCAGTAAATTATCGTAACGAGAAGCAGTTTTATTATTAGTTTTCTGGGAATTAGCAAACTGCTCTCTTAAATAATCTAAATTGCCTTGATTTAAAGCTTCTTCGGTCGTTAAAGTTAATTCACTTTGTAAATAGTGAGCAAAATCAGCATCCTTAGCACTTAGACCAATGTCAATTCACTCCTTAGTAGTTTCGTAAGTAAAACCTTTATTTTGCCACTCTTTTACTAGTTCTTTAGTAAAGTCCAAATTAATATTTTTTCAATCCTCCTTAAAAGATTGCTCGGAAACTTGAAAGTTACCTAATAACTTTTTAATTTGCTCGTTCACTAACTCTTCTAAATTAATTCCTTTTAATAATTCTCGTTCTTTTTTACTACTTGAAACTACATATTTTTCTCAGATAACTTTGTTAATGGTGATGGGTTGATTTGCTTG